GCGACTGCACGATGCTGCTCAGGCTGCGGCGGTACGTCCTGTTCAGCCACTTCCCCACCACCCCCAGCCCGTAGTAGCGTTTCTTGCGGTCGAAGGCAAAGTGCTTCACTTTGGAAGCGATGCGCCTGCCTCGCCGGGGAGCCGGGCCGGGGCCGACACTGGCAGCGGCCGAAGTCAGCCGGACGCCTTCCCGCCTGCAGAGAAAGAAGACCATCACGCCTACTGAATGGGGCCAGCTGAGAAATCCCCCACATGCAACTCCATGGCTGCAGCCCAGAGCCAGAGGATGCCCCGGGATGCGGGCTAGGGGCACCTCTTGGCTTCATCCTCCTAGGAGCACGTCAAAAGTGCCCAGTGCCCCAAGGCAAGGATGGCTGGGGACATCATCCTGACTGTGGCCGGGCTGACTGTGGCAGGGGATCTGAGCAGCCTCGGAGGCAGCACCCGCCGAGAGCTGGTACTCACGGGGTAGGCTGCTCCACCTCGGGGGATGCCCTGGCATCCTCCCCCACTGGGTGCATGCGTAAATACGTGGCTGACAGAGGCGGTGACTCAAAGACATCATCAGGCATGGAGTATGTCTCATCGTGCATGTCCATCTGGAAGGAAGACGGAGACATATTCTTGGATGTGTGCAATGGGTGAGAACCCTCCCCGTGACCAAGCATGCCCATCACCAGCCCAGCCCGGCTCCACCTGGCTCCGAAGCCTGGGGACAGGGTGATCCCCTCTGACATCCCACCAACTACAAGTCACAGGGCGTGAAACGTGCCCGCAATGGCAGCATCGCTCCCTGCCACCCCCAAGGAGCATCACCAAGACCGGGGCTCCGCAGCACCGGGCACAGTGGCCACCGATGCCCCTAATCCCAGGGCAGGGCAAAGCACCGACATGGGGGTCCCCGTCAGAGCCCCGCTCCACAACCAGCCCCCGTGCAGGGGGGCACCGGGCCCCCTCCTTGCTCCCGCAGCCGGCGTGGAACGGCGCTTGCCTTACTGAAGAAGGATGAGTCCAGGGTATCAGCAGCGTCCACCATGTCCTCGTCCATGAAGCTGGGGTACACGAAGCTCCTCTTGTTGCTCCTCTGCTTGGGAGCCAGCGGCTCCAGAACAGAGCGTCCCTTTGGCAGGGGAAGCAAATAAGGGTAAGCAACAAGAAGCCCCCCAGTTTTTGCAGCACCGAGGGTTTCTCATAGCCTCCCTCCCCAAAGCCGAGCGGCAAGCATGAAATCCCAACCGGCCACCATATCCCGCCGCGTGGGAAGGGCGGGCAGTAAGAGCTGGCAGCAGATGCTGCCTTCAGCTCCTCAGAGCCAGCAATGGACCAGGACCACGTTAGTCAGCCTGACAAGTGACCTCTGAATCCTGTTTGGTCTCAGTCCCACAAACCTGTCCCCAAGGCTTGCCCAGGGCTCCCCAGGGGCTAGAAAGCTGCCGGAGAAGCTTCCTGGCTCCTCAGCAGTGAAACCCAGAAGTTGCTTTTTTCCTAGGGATGTCCAGTTTTCATCAAAATGTCTCTCTTTAAGCAGAGCTCAGGTTAAAAAAAAAAACAACCTGCCCCATCAAATCCACCCCAGAGAGACAGCGATCTCTGTGCAAAGCGAAAAGCCAAAAAGCAAAGATGATGGGTGAGGGACAGAGCTGAAAGCAGCGTCAGGAAGAACGGGGGCACCGGGACCCCAGGTCCTCAAACTCACGCGGAGAAGGGCTGCCGCCGCCTTGAAGCTCATGTGGGCGACGGACTCCCTCTTCCTGCGTGGCAGGCGGCTGTAGCCGGAGCGGATGCTGTTGAAGGATGCCAAGGAGACGACGCCGGGGGTGAGCGGGGGCAGGACGTGGTGGGGCGTGTGGGGACGGTCGGTCTCATCAGGATGGCGGAAGGGACGGCCTCTGGCCAGCGGGTCCACGATCTGGGGGAGGCAAGAGGTGTCGGTGCTGGGAAAGCAGGGCTGGGAGCCGGACCCCGCACCCCGAGCTCTACCTTGGGCATCTTGGCGGGCTTGGGCGACTCGGTGCCTTGGAAGGAGGGCACCTCCTGGCTGGGCAGCTCCATGTCGCGGTAGGCAGGCTTCAGCTTGCCGTATCTCATGCTGCAGTGCTGCAAGCTCTTGCGTTGCCACTGCTGCCGCTTCCCCTCCCAGTCGCTGCTGATGCCAAACCATTGCGCCGTGCCCCTGGACACACAGTGAGCACGCTTGTCACCCAGCTGGTCCCCCCACCCCAGGTAACGCCATCCCACCCGGGCATCCCCTCCGGCAGGTGATTTGGGTCAGGGTGTCTCAGCTCGGCCCGCAGAAGGGCAGTTTGGACCTGGCTATGGGTCTCGGGGAAAGGAAGGGATGCTGCAGAGGGGACACTGGCCTTTGGGTCTGTCTGGAGAAGTAACCCCATCAAGACTTGCACCTTGCATGAAACAGCACATCAGCTTTGGGCTGCAGCAAACGTAGAGCTCAAGGTGCTTGTGAAGGTCCTACATAAACAGGGCTGAGAAATTTCCCCAGTGCACAAAACAACGGTGTGAATTAGCACTAAACAATTCTGCTGCAGGATTGTCCCTAGGCAGACACCGGTGAGTCAAAGCAGAGCCACACAAAACCCTCCCAGGTGTTCCCTTTTGAGCTGCGACTCTCCATCCCCATCCCAAGTCCTCTGCCGGTACCCACAGCCACAACACCCCGACCGGGACCGAGGGATCCCTCTGGCAACCCATCTGCTGCCGGAGCCCGCCCTGCCCTCACGCCACCGCTCCCCGGCCCTCACTTGCGGATGCTCTGGGACAGGGAAGTCTGCCGGCGGAAGCCGGGCTGGCGCTCTGAGCCTTCGCATCCCTTCGAGCGGGGCTCCTGCAGGCTCTTGCTCTTTCGGTAGATGGGGACTCTGGAGGGCTGGAAGGCAGAGCAGGGCGTTAGGGATGGAATGGCACATGGGGGGTCCCCCGGGGACCGCAGCCCCCCAAGCCCAGCATGGGATGGGCACAGCTCCCCGTCACTCACCTCCTTGCGGGCGCCATCCTCCTCCGCCTCCCGGGGGGGGATGACGATGGAGAGGTTGGGGGGCTTCTTGCTCTGCAGGCGGCTGCTGCTGGAGCGGCGGGCCCCCCCGTTTTCCCCGCG